ACCTGCAGATATGTTACCAAGGTTGTAAGCAGAGAACAACTTTTGGAGTGTGTGTGCAAATTGCAGTTATGTTTAGATTCTTGAATGGTCAGATGAAATGGGGGAGGATGAGGAGATTTCACCCCTCCCATATCCAAGAATCTGCTGATGTCTCTGCTGATTCTCCAGAGACGAGGGGGCGGTTCCTGCTCTCTACTTATTCGGCTCCAGCCACACATCAAAGAGAGAGAGAGACTGAGTGTTAGAGAGAGATTGTGTGAATAGATAAGGTTGCTGCTAAGAGCAGCTGCAGACACTCAGTGCAGTTCAGCATTTTTGCTTAGACTCCATTTAGCTCTGTATATAGTTTGTATGATAGTTATAGATAGAATAAAAGTAATTATTCTACAGAGCTGCTCTCCGGGTCGTTTATGCTCTGCTATACTCTGCTATACTCTGCTGTGCGACGACTGTCTTCTTGTGGAAGTGAATCTGGTGCTCACAACTCTAAGCTGTGAGTCCACAGCACTTTGACTTGTTCCTGTGCAGAACGTGGTCTCTGGAAGTGCTACCCAGCTCGCCTGGCCCAGTCGGGGCTGAAGTGTGTGAGTCCAGTTGATGGCACTGGCTCAAGGGCGATGCTGACAGGCATTAGGGATCCAATGTATGACTGTATATACAAATATCTAGGTTTCATATTGGCAGATTATTGCAGCTATAAAGAAAGATGTTTGTTTGGTGGAATCTCTCAGGCTGTTCTGCTTAGGTTCATTTAACTTTAGCCCCACTGGAGAAATGACAGCAAGGTGGTCTTTAACTAACACACACACACGGGCAACTGTTGACTTCACATAAATCTGTAGACTGTGAGGCTTCTGCCACAGATGTTTTCAATGCCATTTTGTCTAGAAACAATAGTCAGGCTGTGGAGCCGCTGGCAAAGGAGAAGACTAGGGTTCTGGTTATGAAAGTGGTTGTGTAGAAGAGGAAACTTCAGCAGCTGCAGCATTTTTTTGATGTGTGTTTACCAAAGTTCTCTTTTTTATTTTTTGATGTGTGCTTACCAAAGTTCTCATGTTTTACACAGCTGTGACCATTATGGTAGTTACAACCTCCTTTTCTTACAGATGGCCACTCTAGTTTTTTGGGGGAGGGGGGAGGAGGAGCCACATCTTGAAAGATCCAGATCTGCCTCTGACAGCAGAGGTACAACATAGCCACAAGGGCTAAGGGACCCCTGACCTTTAAGTCCAGTCATGACCGACTCTGGGGTTGCGGCGCTCATCTCGCTTTATTGGCCGAGGGAGCCGGCGTACAGCTTCTGGGTCATGTGGCCAGCATGACTAAGCCGATTCTGGTGAACCAGAGCAGCGCACGGAAACGCCGTTTACCTTCCCGCCGGAGCGGTACCTATTTATCTACTTGAACTTTGACGTGCTTTCGAACTGCTAGGTGGGCAGGAGCAGGGACCGCGCAACGGGAGCTCACCCTGTCGCAGGGATTCGAACCACCGACCTTCTGATCAGCAAGTCCTAGGCTCTGTGGTTTAGACCACATCGCCACCCGCATCCTCTCAGCCATAAGGACTAGTAGCCACTGAAAGCCTTGTCCTCCATGAGTGTGTCCAATCCGCATTTAAAGCCATCAAAGTTGGCGGCTACCACTGCCTCCTGTGGCAGTGAGTTCCATAGTTTAGCATTGCACTGCGTGAAGCAGTTTATCTGCTCTGCATTTTCAAATACTCAGCTTCCTTGGCTGTCCATGGGCTCCAGTGTGTGAGAGGGGTGTCTACTCACTTTCTCAATGCCATGTGTAATTTTATAAACTTCTATTATGTCACCTCTCCCTTTAAACAGTCGCAAATGCTGCAACCTTCCCACATAGAGGAGTCACTCCACCCCAATCTTTTTGGTTGTGCTTTTCTGAACTGAGCAAATAGCATTACCGAACCCAGTGAAAGTCAAAAGTGATCTAGTTTTCTCTCTCTTTTTTTGAAACCATTTTTATTTTACAAATGTAAATTAATTACAATTTCAAATACATAGCCATAAAATGAGATTTCTCTGAACCTCCAGACTCCCCCCCCCATCCCATTCATGGGTACTATTGTCAACATTTACAAGAGGAATAAATGGAGGCAGTGAGAGATTTTACTTTCTTGGGCTCCATGATCACTGCAGATGGTGACAGCAGCCATGAAAATAAAAGACGCCTGCTTCTTGGGAGAAAAGCAATGACAAACCTAGACAGCATCTTAAAAAGCAGAGATATCACCTTGCCAACAAAGGTTCGTATAGTTAAAGCTATGGTTTTCCCAGTAGTGATGTATGGAAGTGAGAGCTGGACCATAAAGAGGGCTGATCGCCGAAGAATTGATGCTTTTGAATTATGGTGCTGGAGGAGACTCTTGAGAGTCCCGTGGACTGCAAGAAGATCAAACCTCTCCATTCTTAAGGAAATCAGCCCTGAGTGCTCACTGGAAGGACAGATCCTGAAGCCGAGACTCCAATACTTTGGCCACCTCATGAGAAGAGAAGACTGCCTGGAAAAGACCCTGATGTTGGGAAAGATGGAGGGCACAAGGAGAAGGGGACGACAGAGGACGAGATGGTTGGACAGTGTTCTCGAAGCTACAAACATGAGTCTGACCAAACTGCGGGAGGCAGTGGAAGACAGGAGTGCCTGGCGTGCTCTGGTCCATGGGGTCACGAAGAGTCGGACACGATTAAACAACAACAAATTATTTCATAGTCCGTAGTATTTGTTACATTACAAGCGAGATTAAAATCCTGCTAATGTTTTCATCTGCTTACAGATGTGGTCTCCTAAATGAATTATACACTTTCCCCATTCTTTCTTGAATTTCTTGTCTTCTTGGTCTCTGCGTTTTCTGGTCAGTTTTGTCATTTCAGCCTAGGCTAACAGCTTAGTTTGCCATTTCTCTTCTTTCTGTCTCTGGGCTAGTAGCATCCATGCTGCTGTTGTCGCATACATAAAGAGACTTTTATGTTCCTTTAGAATGTTGGTACCTATAATTCGTAACAGAAAGGCTTCTGGTGACATAGTTAACCTCTGAGGAGAACGCAGCTCTGGGATAGCTCAGTTGCAGAGCACAAGACTCTTATTCTCAGGGTTGTGGGTTTGAGCCCCATCTTGGGCAAAAAACAAGCAAACTCCTACATTGCAGGGGGTTGGACTAGATGACCCGTGTGGTCCCTTCCAATATTGAAAGTATATATGAAAGCACATGATCTCCTCCAAGCTGATTTTGCAGAATATGACTGCAGCGTGGTAGGAAAAAAAGGGAAGTGGCTTGTGAGGCACTTCCAGCGCTGCTCAGCTGTGCATCGCAGAGTATGTGCACACCAAAGGGGTTGCAGTGTTGCAGAGCCATGTTGCAGCCTCCCTCCAAGATCTTCATTCCGGGGACAGCACACATCTTGGGGGACACAGGACACTGGACTACAGGGCTAGGCGGCCCTTCATCATGAGGCTCTCTGTCAACATCCTCTTTATAGGTAGGTGTCTCAGATCAAAGGGTGAAGGGACTGAGGGTTGTGCAACAGCCGGGTGGAAGGACCAGAGACCCAGTTGTGGTTCCTGCTGCTCAGCTGTATTGCCGCTAATGCAATCATCTCCTTTCCAGGATTCCTGCTGGCTGGACAGTGGCAGATCTCTGGAGGTGAGTCTCTTTGGGTGATAAATATGAACATGGGGCCAGGGGGAGATGGATGGGGGCAGAATGGGAGCAAACTGTAATGATTTTCCCCCCACACCAAATCTGATTTCCTGACATCTGCATGATAACCACAGAGGCCTAACAAATGTTCTCTGATCTATACAAATATTAAATGTACAGGAACATCCCATCCCTATTTCTTTCTCTCTCTTTTTTGGTCAAAATGTACATTTATTAATTTTTCAATTAGGTGTTTTTCAAAAAATAATAATTTTTATTTGATTATACAAAAAATAAAATTGTAACAATATAAATGCATATTGATATACTGTACAGTGGAACCTCGGTTGTCAAACGCTTCAGAAGTTGAACGTTTCAGCTTTCAAACGACAACCTGGAAGTGAATGGTTCCATTTTCAAACATGCCTCAGAAGTCAAACAGCTTCCAAGGCGTGTTTCTCCCATTTTTTCAATGGATTTTTCCGACTGGCAATTGCGCGTTTTGGAAGTCGAACGGTCTTCCAGAATGGATTACCTTTGGCTACTCTGAATCTCGAGACTTCTCCCCACCCGCTCCATGGGTCCTGTTGTCCACATTTACAACTGCATATTATTTCATAATCTATATTTTATATCAATCCATATCAGTGGTGTAGCGTGGGTTCTCAGCACCCGGGGCAAGGCAAGTAATTTGTGCCCCCTAACCCGTGGATTTTAGCACTCGAGTCTCTTCCGCGCCCCCCCAGATGTTGCGCCAGGTGCAGCAGGCCCCCCTGCACCCCCCACGCTACGCCGCTGCTCCCACCACAAGTCTTCAGGACAGCCATCCGAAGGCTGGTGCGGGGAGAAGGTCTCTCCACCCCACTGCCAGGCTTCGGAGCAGCCTTCCGAAGGCTGGTGCGGGGAGAAGGTCTCTCCGCCCCACTGCCAGGCTTCGGAGCAGCCTTCTGAAGGCTGGTCAGGGAGAAGGTCTCTCCGCCCCACCGCCAGGCTTCGGAGCAGCCTTCCGAAGGCTGGCGCGGGGAGGAGGTCTCTCCGCCCCACTGCCAGGCTTCAGAGCAGCCTTCCGAAGGCTGGCGGCGGGAGGAGGTCTCTCCGCCCCACCGCCAGCCTTCGGAGGAGGTCCGAGGACAGTGGGGTTCCTGCTTCCTCGAGGAGGGCCGGCCAAACGCGCCCCCCCCAAATATTGCGCCCGGTGCGGCCGGCACCCCTGGCACCCCCCATGCTACGCCACTGATCCATATTATCCATGGTATGAACCCCATCCCTATTTCTTTGCCTTTAGACAATCTACACACAAAATGCAATTCCCCCAGTGTAACCTTAGACTGAGCAACTAGACATGATGGCAACCTTCTCCCTGCACGGCCAGAGGCAGGATACCTCTGAAGAACAGTTGCTAAGAATCACAAGCGTAGAGAATGCTCTGCTGCTCTCAGTCCTGCTCCTGGACTTCCCACAGACATCTGGTTGGCCCCTGGGGGAACTTGCATGACAAGCTCGAGTAGCTGCAATAGAAGAGAGTGCCTTCTACCAACTCATTCTGATAGGCCAATGAGGCGGCCATTACAGAGGACAGTCCTCTCTTTCAAAAGCTGTCCAAGTTCAGTTTTGAAAACCATAAGAAAGGAAGGCAGGAGGGGGTCTTGAAGTTGCCCACCCACCATGAGCAGCTGAACAGTGGAATGAGCAGACACACAGCTCACCTGACCAGTCTTCCCCACTAGGGTGGAAATAATGCATTTTCATTTAAAAATTAGTAATTACTGTCGTGCCTTGGTTCTCGAATGTGATAAAGTCAGGGCCTTCTTTTGTCTTCCTCTTTGGTGAGACTTTTGTAGATGCTGCATCTTCCTAATCTGCATTTTCATTTAAAAATTAGTAATTATTTATAAATGTGGATCTTTACATACAAATTAGCATGTGGTAAAGTCAGGGCCTTCTTTTGTCTTCCTCTTTGGTGATCCATCTTCCAAATCTCACCTTTGTTCTCCTGTTTCGGTCCAGGACAATCTTACCCTAAACCTTCCATCTCAGCGGTTTCCACAAATGTGGTCAGTCTTGGGGGAAAGATCATTTTACAGTGTGCAAGTGATTACCGTCAAGATGCAAACTACCGTCTGCACAAAGATCCACCAATTCTTTATTCAGCATATTGGAAGTGGGAGTGGGGTGCAGTTGTATTTCAGATTGCCAATGCAAGAGCTTCAGATGGCGGAACCTATACGTGTAGCTATTGCTTAAGTTATGATCGAAAGTGCTCATTTCGTAGTGATCCTGTCCAAGTCTACATAAAAGGTGAGTCTGGCTTAGCCTTTTTATGCTATTTTCACAACTGACATGTAAGGGGAGGGAAGAGAGACATTATGCTGGCCATCAGACAATGGCTTTTTCTGCTTGCCTTTTCCCTCCCTCCAGCCCTAGCAGCCTTTTCCAGATCATGACTTTAAGAACAGCAGAAGCAGCTGGGAAGAGAGAACTATCTGACTTAAACAGCTATCTGACTTTTAGAAGATAGCTGAAGGCAGCCCTGTTTAAAGAAGTTTTTAATGTTTGATGTTTTAATGTGTTTTTAACATTCTGTTGGGAGCTGCCCAGAGTGGTAGGAAACCTAGCCAGATGGGCGGGATATTTAAAAAAAATTTTTTTGTTTATGTTGTTTTTGTTGTTTTTGCTTGTTTGTTGTTGTTATCAAGAGTTCTCCACTAGTACTAGATATTACAGAAATGACGTGATCTTTGTTCATTCTGGTATTGCGAATGCCATAAATTCAACAAAATCTCTTAACCAGGGCTTTTCTTTGAGGGGGCAAAAAGGTGCCAGTACTGGGTGCCCTTAAGAACCTACAGGAAAAAGCACTGCGAGTCTTAAACAAAAATTGCAATCACACAGTTAGATACACTTGATATTCAGTGTAGATGCAGATAAGACCAATGATCCCAAATACTTGGTTCTTAACTCTTTCTACAGCGTTCATTGAAATAAGCAACAGAAATGTACAGTAACTCAGCTTATAAGATTTCCTGGATCTGCCACACTGAACTGCAGCAAACAGTAACTCTTCTCAGGAACCCGTCTCCCACCTAACCTGGCCAATGATGGGTGTTGTAGGCGTGTGGAAGGTGCCAGGTCACCCATCTCTAAACTGAAGTTGTAAACAAAAAACTTAGAAGCATCAAGTTATTATGAACCTTTACCCTCCGATCCATCCTCGGGATTTTGCATTCTCCCAGAACATGCAAACCTCTCCCATATGACAGACTGTTGCCTGGGACTGATTTGAGAAGGCTGAACTGCCTCTTTGAAATCTCACCCTTGTTCTCTTCCATGTGCAGGAAAGCTGCATCCCAAGCCTTCCATCACAGTGAATTCAGTTGAAACGCTTGCCGAAAAGGGGAATGTCAAAATCAGCTGCAAGGCAGAAGACAACTTACCATGGCTGTTCTCTTTGTTTATACAAGTGGGTGAAGATAGGCAGCAGAGAAATCTGACAGAGAAAACAGCAACAAAGGAGGCTGTGTTTGCCTTTGACAATGCCCAAGAATTCCAAGGGGGTCTCTACCAATGTAGATATTGCAACACAACAGCCTTCGTTGAACTGTGCTCAGATTTCAGTGACAGCCGACGCATCAACAGAATAAGTAAGGTTCAACATACATCCTCCTATTGTCACAAAAGGGTCTAAAATGGGAGTGTTCTGCATTTTCAACATCTGTACATCCAGTGGAGAATTTGCATAGAATAAAATATTCCAGATTGGCTGGGATTGAAGGAGGGAGTGTGGTGTGCATGGCTCTGAGAGCCAGTGTGGTGTAGTGGTTAAGAGAGGTAGACTCGTAATCTGGGGAACCAGGTTCACGTCTCCGCTCCTCCACATGCAGCTGCTGGGTGACCTTGGGCTAGTCACACTTCTCTGAAGTCTCTCAGCCCCACTCACCTCACAGAGTGTTTGTTGTGGGGAAGGAAGGGAAAGGAGAATGTTAGCCGCTTTGAGACTCTTTCGGGTAGTGATAAATTGGGATATCAAATCCAAACTCTTCTTCTTCTTCTCTTGGAATCTTCTGAAGAAAGCTGCAGGAAGGTGTTTGTAGAATTTGTAGTGTTAAAACGGAAAGGGGTCAAACCATTGCAAGAGGTGTTGAAATTTTGGCAGGTTGGATAGTTACAATGGAATGGTCTCGGTAGTGGAGTGCACATTTTTATTCTTATTTATTTTTGATTATTACTTTGGATAGATAGATGGATAGATAGATGATAGATAGATAGATGATAGATGATAGATAGATAGATGATAGATAGATAGATAGATAGATAGATAGATAGATAGATAGATAGATAGCGGTAGAAAGAAAGAAAGAAAGAAAGAAAGAAAGAAAGAAAGAAAGAAAGAAAGAAAGAAAGAAAAGAAAAGAAAAAAGAAAGATGATAGATAGATAGATAGAAGATAGATAGATAGATAGATAGATAGATAGATAGATAGATAGATAGATAGATAGATAGATAGATGATAGACAGACAGATGCAGACTATGAAGGAATCTTTGTCCTTCCAGATGTTACTGGGTCCTAGCAAGTGTAGCCAATGGCATGTAGGTCCGTAACATCTGGAGGGCCAATAATTATCTACAACTACTCTAGACATTTTTAACTAAAGAAAAAACAATAGCAGTCCCTATGTACAACCATTTTTTCATAAGCAAAGAGCCATTCTAAGCATTTTTTAAATTATTTGTTAAAAGTCAGTTTGTTTAGCCTGTTTGTTTGTTTGTTTGTTTGTTTGCTTGCTTGTTTGTTTACTGAATTTATATACTGCCCTATACCCAGAGGCGATTCACAGAAAAGATCACAATATATAAAAATAAAAACAATACCCCCCCCCACCCCTCAAAAGAGCCACATAGTTAGGGCATAGTTCTAGTTTGCAGATATTTCTGCTGATCTGATCAAAAGCAGCAGAGTGTGTGGAAGAATATCACGCCACTTCCCTCCATACCATTCTCACAGTGTTTTATTTGCACCCAGATTCCAGCCTGTCCAAACCCTCCATCAAAGTGCTACCCAACGAACGTATTTCCCCAGGACAGAATATCACCATCGAGTGCCAGGGGCCAGAAAAGGGTCTGAACTTCTCCCTCTACAAATCCGGGGAACTGATAACATCGCAGGTGACGGAGTCAGAGAGAAACAGAGCCGAGTTCCCTTTCTTCAACGTGGGGTTGGAAGATGAAGGAAACTACACCTGCCAATATCACCGCCGGGGAAATCCCTTTGCCTGGTCAGAGCCAAGTAATGCCACGGAGCTGGTTGTAAGAGGTGAGAAGATTGGTTGGGTACTTGTCTTTCCCCTGCCGTCCAAGTCTCACTCCCTGTTGTGGAGGAGGCAGGAGCTTCAAGGGGCCTGAGACTCACACTGCAGGGAGGAGGGAACCAGCTTCTTAGTCTCTGTCTGCACGACTTCTCTAAAAGCAGGAGAAATGTTTCCTACTTTGCAGTGATACAGTTGCAGATGTTCCACCTTCCAAATACCAGCTCTCTTTCTTCTCCAGGAGACCTTTCTCCAAAGCCTGCCAACTTTGTGAGGCCCAGTCCTCTCGTCATCCCAGGGCATCTCTGCTGTGCAGCTTGCCTTCCCTGACAAGGGTCTCATCCCACCTGTGTTCTCAGCCAACTATCCTCCTGAGTAATGGCATACAGTGTACCTCGGGTTAAGTACTTAATTCATTCTGGAGGTCCGTTCTTAACCTGAAACTGTTCTTAACCTGAAGCACCATTTTAACTAATGGGGCCTCCCGCTGCTGCCATGCCGCTGGAGTAAGATTTCTGTTCTCATCCTGAAGCAAAGTTCTTAACCCAAGGTACTATTTCTGGGTTAGCGGAGTCTGTAACCTGAAGCGTATGTAACCTGAAGCGTATGTAACCAGAGGTACCACTGTATTGAACAACACTGGGCCTGTGAGCATTAAATGCCCATTTGCAGATCGTAAACTCAGTCTTTTACAGCAGAATGCAGCAAAGCAACTGTGGTTAGAATAGTAACATCAAAGGTTTTATTTATAAAGCAAATAACAAAACAACAAGACGACTCCCACATCCATCTTCTTCAGCAGAGGAGCAGAGAGAGAGGAGAGAGAGAGGAGACATTTAAATAATTCCCATACTCATACATCAATTAAGTAATTAAAGGCAACCCGCAACATTATGCAATGTGAGGAGGAGACATTACAATACTAACACCCTCCCCCTTTTCATGGTAACATTGCCTTATCATCTAGTACATCTGTAACATCTTTACATAGAGACCCAGTTGTTGTTTATTTACAACCTTCAACAACAAATCTGCGGATATTTCTTAAATCTGGGTTGGGGCTGGTATGAGGGAGCTTTCATCCTGAAGGGATGATCAGTGCCTGTTCGGACCTTAGATTGAATTTTGCCTTCCTGCTCAGCCTGCTACAATTTGCGTGTTTTGTGTCAGCCAGCTAGATGAGATAGTTTTCTTATTTTCTTGGCTTCTGAGCAGTCCTAAATTGTGTAATCATGTGAAGTTTTTGCTTTTAACAAAGTTTTTAAAAACAACAGGTTTTCTTATGAGAACTGACTTTGGCTTGAGTTACTGAGCCTCCCAGCTGACCCCCAGGCAGTGCTGAACCTGACCTGCTCTCTTCAGCCAGAACCACCCAACCAGTCCATTGGTGGATGAAATTCCAAGCCCACATTATGGACCAGTAATTCTGAATGGAACACCCAGCAAACGACCAATCGTAAACTGACCACTTCTGGATGCTCCTGCAGTGACATAAAAAACTGGAATGCAACATGTGTACCTGCCATCTTCTTAGCAACAGGGAGCAACTGTGACAGTGGAACTTTGAGTTGGTCCACTGCTTGCAGACTTAGTATGCTTTGTATCATCTCTCTGGCTCTAGTCAGAAGTAAAAGACAAGTGTAGTAGATTAGAAGACTGCTTCCATTGGCAGGTAGATCCAGCAGGCTGTTCTTATGTTCTTAGAAATCAGAAGTAAGTCCAACTGAACTCAGTGGGGCTAAGTATGCTGAGGGCCACAGCCTTGGAGTAATCTCCCTCCCCACCCTGCCTTCATCACAACCAACAATTGAGTAGTAACTCTTCTCTGTCTCACTCTGCAGCAAACACTTTTACATCCATGGAGATCAACATCCGCTTGGGAGTTGCTGGCTTGGTGCTGCTTTCCTTGGTGCTGATCGTGGCTGAGTTCATGTGCAGCAGGCAAGGCTGAGAAGCTCTGACTCGACTCAGTTCCACAAGTCAAGACCCTTCCTTGCGGCATCCGAGACAAGCAAAGCCACAGGATCCCATAGAGACTGGTTTCATTTCTTGTTCATCTGAAGGCCAAATTTCTATTCTGTGATATCACCAAGGAATCTTTTCGGAAGGGGCTGGGGTGGGGTGAGAATACTGGAGGCTTCTGTTTTCTGTGCTTTTTTTGAGCTTTTTTTACAAAGATTGGACAGGGCCTTCTTAAGCATACCCCTCCCCCATTTCCCAGAGTTGTTGGCCTCCTTTTTTTAGGGAGGGAAGACCAGCAGCAGCGGAGGGAGCCTCTTGGGACGGGACGGCGCTGCCCGTGCCATGCCCAGCTTTGTGGGGCTGGAGGAGGCGGGCAACGGCTGGGGCTCCTCCGGCAGTGAAGAGGCGGAGGCTGGGTGAGGCACCTCCCAGCTCAGCTGGTCACTTCGTGCTGTGGTGGCCATGGCAGGCGGAGGCTCTGGGTGCAGCACTGCATGGTGGAGGTGGGTGAGGGTGATGAGCGGGCCGGGGGAGCCAGCCCTGTGGAGATCCGTGGCCCCTGATGCCTGGCTCAAAGACAGCTAACAGGAGAGGCACTGCGTGTGCCTGCGCCTCAACCCGTTGGGTGAGTGAGCACACCGAGTGAGCGGGCCTGCCCTGAGCGAGCAAGGGTGTGTGCGGCTGAGCGTTGGCTGGGTTTCTTCCCTTTTAGCCTTTCTGGCACTCTGCAGAATTTGGCACCTACAGGCTAAAAGGGGAAAAAACTGAGCTGACGCTCCGCGGAAGCTGTGCATGCACCTTCGCTCACTCAGCGCGCTCGTTCAGTGTTCCCGGGACTCTCACCTGGCACCCTCCAAAACTTGGCGCCCCGGCACCCCGCACCACTAGCATCTATGGGTAAGACGGCCCTGAGTCTGGAAATGAAATGAAATACAGTGGTACCTCGGGTTAAGTACTTAATTCGCTCCGGAGGTCCGTTCTTAACCTGAAACTGTTCTTAACCCGAAGCACCACTTTAGCTAATGGGGCCTCCTGCTGCTTCCGCACCGCTTGAGCACAATTTCTGTTCTTATCCTGAAGCAAAGTCCTTAACCCGAGGTACTATTTCTGGGTTAGCGGAGTCTGTAACCTGAAGTGTATGTAACCTGAGGTACCACTGTATCCCAAGTTTGTTTGTTTTTAATTAATATTTTATTAAGTTTTATCAGTGAAAAAATTCAGAAAGAATACAAAAACAGAAAAATACAAAGTCAAAATACAAAAATACAAGCATTAAGCACAAAAAAGAAGAAAAAAGAAGAAAAAAGAAAAACACATAAAGAAAAAACAAAACTCCCTCTTTTTTAACTCATCTTTAGTTAACTTATTTTCCTGACTTCCTCACGCCTCCCTTTTTTGTATCCCTTTTTTAAAATTGGTTCAGCAAATTCATATCCAATTTAGTTTATCTATTATCAATCCCATCTTACATTTTACCTTGTTGCCAATGATGTAACCCGAGGTACCAATGTATTCCAAGTTTAATTGGCAAAGGCCGGGGACAAGGTTTATTTTTTGTCATAAACAGTTTTTTGTGTAGCTGGTGTATGTGACCATGTGGAAGGTGTATGAGGGGAAGGAGTGCCCTTCCAGACGCCCTAGCGTGCCCTGGGAGAATTGCTACACTTGCTGCTGCAATGGCAAAAACTTGTGAAGAATGAAAAAAGGGGGTAGAAATTCCTCTGCTGTCCTGAATTTTGGGATGTAACCCCCGTCCCCCATTTTTTAATCCATTCTAGAAATTGTGGATGGGAAATACAAATGAATCTTTGGGTTAGTACAAGGTTATTTTAACAAAATGCAAACCATGCCCCCCTAGTAAGAAGCACGGGCAACAGACAAATATCTCACGTTGTTGGAGAAGTGCTGAGATCCAGGCATGGCTTCCTCACGCCTTTCACAAGGACCAACCAACCACCGGTTCAATACCGTCTGTTCGGATGAGCTCCTCTAAGCGGGGGCAATAAAAAGATAGGAGGAGAAACCTGGGAGGTGAAGGAACAAATCTGTCTTTAGACATTTCACACCCAACTGAGATCAGATTGATGAATGGGCCAAATATCTGCTGTGGGAGGGCTGAGCTGTTCTACAACAGGGATGGGATGAGAATATGTGCTGGTGCCTTGAATCTGAACATTGCCCAAGTCATGTGCAGGCAATCTAGCTGTGGGCATGCCCTGCATTCATCTGCAGAAGGTCTTGGATATACATATGGTTTAGTGCTAGGAAATAATTTCACTTTGAAGGGCAGAAGCTTCTCTCAGCCTCTGCCAAGGAAGATATGTCTATGGAGAGAAGTGCAGGCCTAGAAAGCACAAAACATGCAGAAAACTGCTTGAACCCATGCTTTCTAGGTGTGGGATTGCAGAAGTGAGGGAGAGCCCTCAGCCTCAACCTTGTCTGCCAGTATCACCCCCATCATCTTCTCTAGCCAGTCTTTCCTTGTAGTTTCAGGGACTCCATTCCTCAGGTGCCATTTCCCCATCTATTGAAACTGACTTTTCATCAATGGCTTACTCTGTCCCTGCTATAAAGTGAAACTAAAATCTCTGCAACATCTAGAATTAATCACATAGATGTTTCTCTTCCTTCTGACTCAAAAAATGTGTTTCCTTACAACTCATCAGAATAATTCTGGGCAGATCATTTTCAAGTATGATCTTCTGGGAGTCCTCTCTTATTAATAATTTAGATAAAACCACATGTTCGTATGAGATTATGATGTAGTGAATCCCTTTCAGTTCTTATTTTTTAATTTTTTGAAAATAATTTTTCATTGGTTTTACAATTTCAAATTCAAAAATTATTTTTGATCCAAAAGAAAAAAGAGAAAAAAGAGAAATACAAAATATCCAACATGGAATATAAGAACTAAAATAAAAAATATAAGAAATAAATTTTTAAAAAACAAAAATAATCTTTTCAGAGGTTCTCTTTAACCTCCTGACTTGCCTCCATTTCCTTTCCTAGTTCATTGAATATATATATATATATATATATATATATATATATATATATATATGCAGGTTTTGGTGTCCTCGGGTGTCTTCCCGTGTAAAAGTTGGGGTGTCTAGGCGACGTTTCGACGAGGTCTCACTCGTCATCTTCAGGCTGGTGCTTTCGGCTTCTTGTTACTGGAACAGAGCAGGATCTCAGTGTTTGAGTTCCTATAAATACTGTTGAGGGGGTGTGGTGTATAGCCTCCAATGTTCTGGGCAGAGAGGAAGTTCCCAGGCTAGTGTGCCTTTTCTTCTTTTGTTCCTTAATTACTTGAGGGATATCTTGAGTGATTTCTTGAGTGATATCCTGAGTACCACTTAGGTGGGTCATTAGGTGTGGATTAGTTGCTAAAGCCTTCGTGTCTTGACCTCTTGAACTTTGTGAAGAGTTTTTCTGAGAAGATGGCTGTATTGCATTTAGTTGTGCTCTGGCTTGGCTTCGTGTATAGGGGCGAGCTGTGGTTTTGTGTCCTGTGCCAGCCAGATCTGTGTAGGGATTGCAGGGGGGTGCAGCATCCGGAGGTGCCACCATGGTTTGGCTACTGGATGGTGTCTGTAATTTATCTGTGGAGAGGGTCTGGGTTTGGGTCTGGTGTGGTTGATTGGTGATGGCGTTCTGTGTGCCTCTGGATCTGGTGTCGGTTTTTGTGGGGAGGGCTAATTTCCAGATGTCTGGCAGGCGGGATGTGTCGTCACGCTTGTTCATGTTGTGAGGGTGTTTCTCTATCTCGATGGCTTCCATGATTATTCTCTTGTGGTGATGTTCCATGTTAGAGAGCAATTTGGAATCTGCAAAATTAATTTCGTGTCCTGTTTCTTTCATGTGTTGGAAAAGAGAAATCCGAAGAGCCACCATCTTATGTGATCTCTTGTTCCTACGCAACTGCCGAGACAACAACTTAATTCCCACATGCTTCCAACTTAAATTCCACTCTAAAACCCCAGCTACCGAAAGGATCCTGAAACGAACTGAACTATCCCTAATCAGAAACGAACTACATAAGAAAAGATACCTACTAAACCAAACCAACAAAGATCTGCTCACTCTTCACCTCAAACTCTGTAACAAAATCCACCCTGCACTCTGGGACAAATGCAAACAACTAGCCGTCTGGAGAGCTGAAACTGAGACCTCACATAAGACAGACACACACACCAACAAACTCCACAAACTAGAGAAACGCCAGAAGCCCAGCCACCCTCCACAACAACCCATGAAACAAACAGTACATAACATATCAGACAGGATCCTCACCTCAACTGAAACCAAAGTACTCTCCAAAGGTTTCAACTTTGCAGTCGCCCCGAGACGCATCCCCACGGAAAACATCATATGCGGAGTCGAAGCTAGCCTAACCAAAATCAACCCAGATGAAGCCAATAAAATCAGACTTGAAGTCACCAACATCCTCTGCTCCAGCAAACCACCCAGAAGCAATTTACACAAAGAAGAACAGAAAGCACTCACCAACCTGAGGAAAGACAACAACATAATCATTCTCCCAGCAGACAAAGGTAATGCCACTGTTGTGATGAACACATCGGACTACCAAGCAAAACTATCAAATCTACTCCAAGACCCTACCTACCAACCTATAAAAACAGATCCCACCACCTATCTGGAAAAAACCACCAAATCCAAAATAAAAGCCTCTCCTATCAGTGAAGAAATCCAGCTAAGAATCATCCCCAGAGAAAAATCATCCAGATGCCCCAAACTCTACGGCCTCCCCAAGATACACAAAGAAGGAACACCACTCAGACCAATAGTCAGCTCCATAGGCTCACCTCTACAAAATCCCGCTAAATTTCTCGCTAAGCAACTTCAGCCCTATGCAGAATCCATCCCTTCACACGTTACAAACTCCTTCCAGTTCATAGAAACAATAAAGAAGCAAAACCTACATCCCAATGACCTACTTGTGAGCTTCGATGTTGTATCTCTCTTCACACAAGTGCCCATTAATGAAGCCTTGACAGCCATTCAAAACAAATACAATCCCCCCGAATACATCCTGGACCTTACCAACCACTGCCTAACCAACACGTACTTCATCCACAATGGACAAAGATACAAACAGATAGAAGGAGCACCTATGGGATCACCACTCTCACCGGTCATCGCAAACCTGTACATGGAACACTTTGAAACCAATGCTTTAGACAAGTCAGAACACAAACCCAAACTTTGGCTCAGATATGTTGACGACACCTTTGTAATTTGGCCACACGGGAAGGAAAAACTAGATAGCTTCCTCACACATCTCAACAGCCTACACCCCAAAATACAATTCACTATGGAAATAGAAGCCAACAACCAACTTCCCTTCCTTGACGTCCTAATCTACAAAAAACCTGATGGCTCCCTAGGACACACT